GGAGGAGAGAGACTGAGAGAGAGAGAGAGAGATTGCAGAAACGTCTGCAAACGCCCAATACCCATCTTCCATGCGTTCTCGTCATCCCGATCCTGATGAGGAACACGCAATGTGTAGATCTCTACGAGACCATACTTATCTTCCATGCCTCTTCGTCATCCCGATTCGGATGAGAGAGACAATGTGTAGATCTGTACGAGACACAGAACAGCGCATATATCATATCTACGCAAGTGCAATCTCGACGCGCTTTAAAAGGCAGGCATAGTTTGCTTCTAGCTAATCGTTACAGCTCTCCATTGTCCCTACCTACGACGCGACCCGACGGACAGCTCGTCTGACCCGCCCATCTCATTTCCCCGCGTTCACTCGCCGCTCAAAAATAACATCTTCATTCGTGTCACACACAATGCCTCCACTCATTATCTCTCAAAGTCAAGATACACACCTTCCCTCCCTCTCTCTAAACAAGCACATGCACTTATTCATTCTCTCTCAAAGTCAGGATACACACCTTCCCTCCCTCTCTCTAAGCAAGCACATGCACTTATTCATTATCTCTCAAAGTCAGGATACATACCTTCCCTCCCTCTCGCTAAACAAGCACATGCATTTATTCATTCAACACCCACTGTGCACTAACTTGTTGCAGGCTTTTGACAGCAACGAATTGCCCTTTTGACACCATCGACATTGGCGAGAAAACATTGCATTGACAAGTAGAGCTAGCACACAATAGCCCACCGAGCTAACGCAGCGGCTAAAACTCCAAAAAAACATTCATCCAGCGAATTGGAAATCTTCAACTAAACAATCACATAGAGCGGATTGAATAACTTCAACGAGTCACTGAGCGGACTGAATAACTTCAACAAGTTACCGAGCGGATTGAATAACTTCAACAAGTTACTGAGCGGATTGAATAAAGTTACTGAGCGGATTGAATAAACTTACTGAGCGGATTGAATGAAGTTACTGAGCTGATTGAATAAATTCAAGAAGTAACCACGGTAACTTCACCCACTGCCGTGGCCTCTTAAGGGGTTGTTCTCCGCCTCTTCTTCATCCCCACACTTGCCTGCTCTGTTAAACCGCTGCCTGCGTTCACAAGTAACTACGGTAATTTCACCACTGCCTGCGTTAACAAGTAACTACGGTAACTTCACCACTGCCTGCGTTAACCGCTGGCCAGCCACGACCTTCCACCAGATGCACTTGTATCACCGTGCCCTATGCGGTATTACAAAAAAAAAAGAAAAAGGGCAGAGACATGTTTCAACATTGAGAACCATGTTACTCCCTGCCGTCCGATCCTAACAAATCACAACTGCACTGTGGGCACGTTGAAAGACACTGGATAGAAGGACTAAATCCCCCGCAGTGGTACTTAACACCCTGGTTGGAATCCCTATCCCGTCTGTGGGAGTTATTACATATTAACACCAAGGTGGTAATCCCTATCCCTGTTGGGAATCCCTATCCGGGGCCAAGTCCCACTCACGCCGACCCTTGATTTCTGGTCGTTGATCTTCCAAATCTGCGGTCAGCAATCGATCATTCGGGTCAGTGGGACTTGGCCCCCGGGGTACCCAGCTTCCGGTCTTCCATCATATGCCACTTCTTCTCCGATCTCCATCATGATGATGGAGTAACAGAGAAAGCTTCGATCGGCATCTCAATCGCAAGGGTAATAATTCGACTGCAAAAAAAAAAGTAAAAAAAAGTTGATGTCGATCCGATAAACAACCTACACCCTACAGCAGCAGCAGCGCGTTCAGACAGATTCAGAATCTGAAAAAGAAAAGCAGAACAAAGACTACAGTACCCGGCGAGCTTTTGCCAGGAGTCCCGGCTCCGCTCGGCTCGTCATCCTCTTGTCTACCCTACCAATGCTACCATGTACGAACCACCTCACAAGTGCCAAAACTCCTAATAATTATCAAGCAAACAAGGGACAAGTACGTTGGAGTCACACCCAACGTTCAAAATAGGCAACTTTAACAGTTCCCGAAATTAGAGTACAAAAAAGTCGACCCAGCTGTCAAAAAAAAAAAAAAAGACCCCCCTCAATCTGGCCAAGCCCCCCTGCGGGTAATGAATGACTGGCGCAATCTTAGACCCCCCCCTGCTAAACCCCTTGCACGTTCTTTTTTTTTTCTTCTTTTTCTTTTTTATAAGAATTTTTTTTTTTTTTTTTTTTTCTCTGCCCCGTTGGCTTATGCCAACGGTCATTTCGTGACACAGCCCCCTTTGCACATTCCGAAAGTCACATCATGACACCGGCACGGCACCACTTCGTCTTCTGTGGCCTATGTCTTCAAACTATCAGTGTGTCACAGCCACAGTTTTCCCAAACAAACAATGAACCGCCTTCACCCAAGAAATATTAAATACACCCAAGAGCGTAGCTCAGTGGGTACACCATTGGACTGTCGAAATATAGACCCGTGTTCGAACCCAGATGACGGAATTTCATGAGTAAAAACCGAATATTCTGAATTGCCTGGGGCCGGTCAGCTCAATGATGATATCTTTTCAATTTGGACCATTTCTCGATTTATGCGTGTCATCCTTGCGCAGGGGCCATGCTAATCTACTCTGTATCGTTCCAATTTCAACGGATGTCCCGAAGGACCAATGATGATATCTCAAGACCGTCGCCCTTTAAAAAAAAAAAATAAAAAAAAAAATAACGTGCGGTCACTATCGCTGTACTAGGCGGAAAGTCGGCCGAAATACAACCATAACGAGCACCCTCGAATCCCAACCACATCAGGAAAGGAGGCCGCAAAGTCTAACCGAGGTACAGTTCGTCTCCTTGGGAAAACACCCCCCAAGGCGCCACGGAGCGCCAGGTTGATCTTAAAATAAAAATAATAATAATAATAAAATCCGGGCTGACGATCTCCATTAAGGCAGAATGAACTACTGACCCACTGGGGTTCGAGCACGTGATCTGTCGCGGGTGAATCTCTTCTTCCCGCTTCGGACATCCTGGTCAAGGCAACTCGTGGCACAGATAACGTCTCATAACTTGAGACCAAGAGCATAATACTCACAGCACAAGGACGTTTTCGACTCAACTGCCAACATAATTGCGGCCAGATGCATCCAGGGTCCCCCGTAATTGCAGTCAGATACATATACAAAAGTCCTAGCTTGAGTAGGACCTCAATCTCCTTATCCCTCCACGTGCACAATGTCATTGTCATCCTCTTTCTCAATGTAGCAGACTAGCGCGCATGCCTGTAACCGAACGTCAAACGATGCTGCCGCAGCCTTTGTACGACGTACCTGACCAGAGCAGCCTTGGCACGCCATAGCTGAGCTTCTTCAGTGCCAGCACTGCGCGACTCCTTGCTCGTCATCTTCTACACGCTGCAGGCTTCCTTGTCTGAGCCGTCCCGGCAGGCGCGTTTGCCGTCGCACCGGCGTCCGGTGACACACCACTTGCCGTGGCACTTGACTCTGCCCTTCGGGGCATTTGTACCCCCTGCAGAACCCACCCATGCCTCTCGTCACTCCCATCAGCGCAGGCCTCCGACTTGCTCTGTCGCCAATGCTTCGTCGTACGTGGCTGCTATTCGATTTCCTTGCGTCACTCGCCTAGGTGCTGCAGCCATTCTCGTCTGAGCCGTCCGGGCAGTCGCGTTCGCCGTCGCACCGGCGTCCGGTGACACACCACTTGCCATAGCACTTCACTTGGCCTTCGGGGCATTTGTACCGCTTGCAGAACCCATGCCTCTCGTCACTCCCATTAGGGCAGTCCCGTTTCCCGTCGCAATAACGCCCAGGAATAAACTGGGTCATGTTACGATGGCAACTGATGCGCCCGACCGCAGCCAGCTGGTTGCGTGCTTTGTCGGAATTGCAAAACTCCGGCTTCTCGTCCTCTTCCCCGTAGCAGTCCCCCGCACCGCCGTTGCACAGGCTGATGGCGTACGTACACCACACGTACTCCGACCCCGGGCACTTCACCATAGCTGCTGCTGCTGATGAGCAGTCGTGCTGCTTGCGGCAGAAGGCAGGATCTTCGTCCGATTTGTCCGGGCAGTCCTTCGCTCCATCGCAGAGAGATCTTTGGCTGACGCAAGTGACGCCGTCCTTGCATTTGACCTCCCCGTCAGAGCAGTTGTATGTGCGACAGAGGCTGGGGTCCTCGTCGGACCCGTCCCTGCACTCCTTCACACCGTCGCACAGCTTGAAAGAAGTGCAGCCGCACTGCTTTTCGTCCGTCCCCGCCGGGCAGTCTTCCACTCCGTCGCACACCTGACTCCCCAGAATGCACGTCCGGTTTCCCCCGCCCGCACACTTGACCCGATCGGACGGACAGTCCATCTTCTCGCAGAACTTCCCTTCGTCATCGCCTTCGGGGCAATCCTTGGTACCGTCACACACAAGCTGGCTTTTGATGCACCTGCCGCTCAAGCATTGAAACAAGGAGTACCAAGTAGAAGGGGAGCATCCGCGCGTCTTGCAGTACTCGTCGTTCTCGTCGCTTCCGCCATCGGCGACACAATCGACAACGCCGTCGCACAGCTGCGCCTGGGTTAAACACCCGCCCTTGCCGCCCGGGCAGCGTCGTCGTCGCACAGTAGGTACGTAACCTCGGGCAGGCGGACCGGTTCGCAGCGGCGTGTGCGGCACGTCCGTGTTGCAGTCGTACGACGCGCAGAACTGGGGGTCCTCATCTGATCCGTCCGCACAGTCCTTCACACCGTCGCACAGAGAACGAGTGTACGCATCCGCGTAGACAGCATGTCGCCACACACCACTGCTTAACGACCTGTTCATACATATCCTCCCACTCGGACACGTGTACCTGTGCGTAGCCACGCAGTCAAAGGACTTGCATCTATCTATACCCTCATCCGACCCGTCAGCGCAGTCCTCCACGCCGTCGCACTCTTGCTCCGGCTTGATACACTGCTCGATGCCGCTCATGCACCTCTTGAACCCGCGGAAGCAGTAGAACCTGTGCCGCCCGTCCTTGACGCCATTGGACTCCTCAGGTAGCGATGACTTGACTCCCGCAGGATACTTCGCAAAGGCACTGTGACAACTGTCCGCAGCAAGAAAGAGGAACAGCACTGCCGTGCCAAGCCATGATTGGTGTGATAGAAGAGCGACGCCCGCTCTCTTTCTTCCCATCAAGGCAGAAGAAGAGGAGGAGAAGCAGGAGGAGGAGGAGGAGGAGGAGGAGGAGGAGGAGGTCATTGGTAGAGGCGCAACCGCGCCTGTTATTCGACCTCAGTACGAAAGCGAATAAGAGGTAGTTTGGCGCACGCTGTTAAATTGCCACTCGGAGAAAAGGAGGAACGAGAAGAAACGGCGATGGCAGCTATGGCAGGTCCTAGGGCCGTCGTCATCGGCAGCAGCAGCGGAGGAGGAGGAGGAGGAGGAGGAGGAGGAGGAGGAGGGAGGGAGAGAGCTGACGATATTCACGTGCACTGAGAAGTGAAGAATGAATGAAACTCGGAATGGTAAGAAGGGAATAAATAGTCGCAGAAGTTTGGACGCCTAACAGGGCGTAGTTGCACTGCTCGCCATGCGACCAGCATTTAAATTGCATCACGACAGATGGTGTCGGGATTCACGCAGAATTTTCGGCGATTAAAAAAAATTAAAAAAATTAAAAATTCGGCGGATGGGGGATGGTCCATCCAGGGCTTCAGTCCCGCTTCCCGGACTGATGACGTCCCGCTTGATGGCTCTCCGAGACTTTGGGCCTCGCCACACAAGCTTTCGAAACGTGAAAACGACAAAAATGTGCAAGGGGCATCTGGCCATGTTCTAGCGGCAAGTTCATTCTCGTTTTGCACATTTCGACAGCCTGTGTGGCGAGGCCCTTTGAAACCAAGCTACCAAGGCCTGTCCATCCAATTGGCCTCGCTCCCGTACTCTCTACATGCACAAGAGACAAGGCGGCGGCACCAAAGGGTCTAGTTGGTACAAGACCCGTTGGTAGAACCATGCACTGTTGAAACACAGACCGGAGTTCGAATCTGGATGTCATGAAAGCGATTCTGAATGAATTACCTAAGGCCGGTCAGATCAATGATGCTCTCTGTATTTCAACAGTTCATGGGTGCACGAACTGAGCTAGGGGTGTCTGTCTGCTACACTTGGGGTCTCGCTCCACTACTCTAGAAACTGGCCATTTCTTGAGCGCGGCATGTGATACGCAACCTCACGTCCCCTCACAGCTTCCCGTACTGGGTCGCCGATCAGAGTTCTAGGAGGGGCGTGGCCGAGGATTTTTGGCCGTAGGGGTTGAGTCTCCCGGACGGAACGGGAGGCTCTCGTTTCGTGCCAGAGGTTACCCCGGAGTCGAAGTGTCGTGGGCAAGTCCTGTGGGCGTCGGATCACTTCGAAACGATAAAATCAGAAGGGTTTCCGCGAAAACGAATTACCGTCGTGTATCAGGACGGAAAAAGGCCTCAAGGGGAGAGGGCCATGGCGGCGGAAGACCGAACTCTGGCCGTCACGGGCTTGGGGGATAGGTAGTGGGTTCGAAGCCTTCCGGCCCCATCATCGGCCTCACGAAGTGACTGGACCATCGGGTTTTTGCTGTAGAGGTGGTTGGTTCGAGATCTTCAAGCCTCGGCGTCGGACTCGCAAAGTCCGCGCGGAAGGTTCCGAGAGGGTGAAACGGCGGGAGGACTCGCCGGCATCCGAATTCGAAATTGCGCGGGCAGCGCCCCCGCATTACGGGAGAGCTCGGGGAAACGTGTCGCTCCCTCGTACCCCAGGACCAAGCGCCACCAAGAACACGAGTCCCCCTGGCGACACCAGCGACAATCAAACCGCGGACGCCACGTGGCATGAGCGGCCGACCAGGGCAACACAGTTAAACCCGTATATGGCAAGATGAGAGTCGGGGAATCAAAACGATCAATCAAGACAAACCCGTTCCCCCTTATATCACAAGCCTGAGGCAGGTCTCGCCAACACACTTGCTCCGTTCGCCTCAGCGCGCGCCGTACGTCCGCATCGCAGTAGACGATGTCGTCATATGTGATGGGGAAGGTCGGTAGCGAGATGAGACGATCGGAGGTACGTGATAAACACGGGCAAGATCCCGCGCTCCCGGTCATCCGAACCAACATCGACTCCATACATCACTCGATGCAACCTTCTCTCTCTAAGTTAGTGCGTCGGAGGAAGATGGTGAAATCGAAGCATTCTTCCCCTCGCGGGGGCGTCGACCGTCCGCGCCGACGCAAGCGGTTGACGTCACCGGGACAGGGACGAGGAGTTCAAAAGTGATGACTATCAGTACAAAAAGGAAGGCGCTCGAGAGAGAGAGAGAGAGAGAGAGAGAGAGAGAGAGAGAGAGAGAGAGAGAGAGAGAGAGAGAGAGAGAGAGAGAGAGTTACGCCGAGACTGCGCGTGCGCGCAGGAAAAAACACGGAGGGGAGGGGAACAACAGGATCGACACACTCGTACTCCTAAGCAGACGGCCCTCCCCAGTTCAGTTTCCCCGTCCCCGCCCGGACAAGTACATACACACATACATGCATGCAATCAACAACCCTTGACAGAACATCTAATCATCCATAGACCTTCGACATCACTCATGCGCACGACCAGCTCCCATCACTCGGGGCTTCACACACACGACATGCATGGACAAAGCAGCAATGGAGATAAAAGCGAGTCCTTCTTGTACACAAAAATTTCAATTAACTGCCGCCCTCAGGCGCAGTCTTCAAAATCTCCCAAGACCACCGCCCACCATAGCCACAAGGCCCTGCCGGGCCTGGTGTCCAATCCCCACCACTGCTCAGTCCCTCCGACTGCTTCGCCCCGAGACTACCGCGGGCCCACCCCACGTCGTCACTCCGCCCGTCCTTGGGCTCGTCGAGCCTGTTCGGTGCCGCGGACTTCCGCGCATAGCTCGCGCAGCATTGCAGCCTAGATAAAAGAGAGAGAGAGGAGAGGGCTGCGCGAATTTATAGCGAGGGAGGCGGCGGGTTGTCCGCGCGAGCTGCGGGCGGCGCGGGTTGTAGATGAGCAGGACAGAAAAACGGTGGGGAGTTAGAGGGCTTGACCCGCGGGGTTGCATGGTACTACGTGATTGGGGTGTTCGTTCAAGTGCGCGGTTTTCCGCTCTCCACCTTGATCCGAGCATCCCAACTACGTAGCCAATCACTTCGCGGAGGAAGACGGGGTAAGGATCAAGCTTGGCGTAGGGGAAGACGAAGAGTCCGTCCTGAGGGAAGCGCACGCAGCAAGAAAGGAAGATGGCGCGGGGATGCAAAGCAAGAAACGGGAATGCGAGATGCGCGAAGAAATCGGAGCTGAGGCGTGCGCGCGCAAAAATGTAAGAAGTCCCAACCGCACCCGTTTCTTGGTTTCCATGCCGCGGCCGCTATTCGCCCGCGCGGGAGTTATTAGCCAAACAAAATGAAAAAGCCGTTTCGAAAAGAAAACAAAAGCGAAAAGAAAGAAAAACCCCTTGCTGTCCGCATCCGTACTTCAAGGCTTTCGTGGGATTTTTCCTCAAGGATACGGAAAGCCGCGCGGTACGGGTCTGAGCTTATCACATCTGTGATACGCAGGGGGTTCCAGAAAATTAGCAGTCTCCCGACTGCTGATGTCATCATATCTTGGATGATCGGGCGGCCTCTTCATCGTCAGCTGGCCCGATCATCTCCCTAATCTACGTGGATGCATCCTGCATCCTCTATCGCCTCCTCCCATAGTATACATCCGATCGGGCGGCCCCTTCATCGACAGCTGGCCCGATCGGTAATTTTTTATTTTATTTTATTTTTGTTTAATACACAGTGTGTCTCCACGCGCGAGCTTTGGAGATAGGAGAAGAAGACGATAAAGAGAAGGAGAAGGAGAGAGCAGGGGAGAGGTAGACGAGGGTGATCAGAGAAAGTGATCGATGTCGGGATTGAGAGGGGGCGGAATAGGTGGAAGAAAAGTGTCCATTGCCTCGGGAGTCGTCGGCGCATCTTCCTCATGGAAGTGGTGCTGGACGAAGGAGGGATAGAGGAAGGCCCCCGACACATGAGACAGGACATGTGGCGCCAGATCCGCCACCRCTCGCACCACCCGCTTGCGCACCGATCGGGGCCCTGGACCCGTCATCACCACATGAGTCTCGGTGTAAGGCCGCCGCTCCCGCTTTTGCGCCGCGAAGACAAGGAAGTGGTACATCACATTGGGACGCTGCCCGGTCTCGGAGATGAGCCTCCCAGCCAATCGCGCCTCAATACACCCTTGAAAAGGGGGTGTCTGATATGGCTCCCACGCCGGATCAGGGCGTGGCGCCCCCGCGATGGCCTCGAGCCGGATGGTGGTGGGCTCCACCATGAAATCCACCTCTGTTGGATGGACCGTCCGGCTAAGAGGAACTGCTAATGTCAATGACCGGGGCAACCCGGGGTGGCTGGCGGGAGCGGAGAGGTCCCGCGAGGACGGGGGGTCTGGATATGGGATCCGGTATTCCCATTCGGCTTCCTCCCTGGACTGCTGCTGCTGCTGATGGCCCGGCTCCATCAAGATTGAGATCGGGCACACGCGGGAAGGGCGGCGATGGCACAACACTTGCCTTAATGAGCGTCGCCACACTCCCAGGCGCGGGGTCAAGACTTCGCGTACGGGCGGGCTGAATCACCTCCTCGCCACCACTGATTCTGCTGCCTTGCGCTCCTGGCGACGGATGGCGTCTCCTCCTCTTCGGCGTCTTCTTCGGGGCCTTGGGTGGCGCCGGTCGGGGATACGACGAGGGAGGCCGCAACGGCTTTTCCTCCGGGAAGTCTTCCAACCTCTCCGCGCGCTGCGCAATGAAATCCGGGATGATGACCGCGTTGTACGTTCTCCGCGGGGCCGTCGCCGTCCGCAATCGTGGCTGGATTTCCTCTTCCTCGCTCGCGATCACTTACGCAATGGAGAGGAGCTCAAGATGTATGAGCTCCAACAATCCCGGATCGATCGTCTGGAGCTGGGCGAATGGGTACAGCGCCACCGTCCCCTCCTTCTGCGCTGGCTTGGGCCGTGTGATGATGTAGTAGACGACGAAGTGCTCCCCGATGCAGTGGTCTTCGTGATCCACGAAGAATCGGAACATCCCCAACGCCACCGACTTGTACAACGCACGGTGCAACTCCCACGCGTCTTCGTCTGTGAAGGGCAGCGGTTCCACGTCAGTTAGCTCCACTAGATACTCCGAGAACTCGCGCATAGGATAAGGGCCCTCCGTGAGTTGATAGGGGAGAGTGGTGTATGAGAAGAAGGGAGGCATTTAGTACGGGGCAGGGGGAAGAGCTTGGAAGTTGAGAGGGGCAGCGGGAGGAAGAAGCGCGGGGAGCTGCGGCACCAACGCRATCGGTCCGTCCTCTGCCCTGCGCAGCAGCGTTTCGTGGGCTGTGAATCGGTGTCCCCCCCGTCCTTGCACTCTGGCCACCGATCTGGCCGCCTGCACCGCGTATTCGCGCACAAAACTTCGCGCTAGCTCCCGACTCGGCGGTGGCAGGATCGTTAAGTCATCGATAAAGGTGGCGACGCTATGCACGAAGTTGGGTGCCACCTGGAGCGCGCGGAACTCGATGAACACTAGAGTCGTCTCCCGCCCGGGCAACTGCGTCACGTCCACGTACACCCCCGCATACGTCAGCCGATCGCAAAGTAACGAGTACGCCGCCAGATCAGCAACCCCGGGCGCTGGCACGTTCACCTGCTGAATGTCATACCGCAACTGCCTTTCCTCATTGAATTGATGCCGCACCAAGCGATCTGCAAGCGGCTTCTGGAAATGCTCGAGGGGCTCATGCTCCGGCTGGCGATGGTTCATCCTGTTCCCTGAAACTCTCAGCACCAATGGACGAGGCAGATCGGGAAAAGGAGGAAGACGAAGAAGGAGAGGATGATCTCACAGGAGCGGGGGTCCGTATGGGGCCTAGCGATGGCTGGAAGGGCCGGAGCGTGGCAGCGTGCCGTGTCAGCGGTCGGGCCTGGGAGTTGTGACGGGGAATCAGCTTCACGGAGTGCTGTCCCTGTGCGCCAACTTCCGTTACCTCGTAAATGCCTATGTAGCGCGGGTGGATCTTGGAGGAGCGCGCGGATTTCCGTACCTGCACCAAGTCCCCAATTTTATAGCGAGCAAGTCGTCCCGCGGACGCATGTCGGTTCTCATAATCGCGGATCTGCCGTTGATGCGTCCGATCTATGGCCCGCTGTCGCCGGCGAGCTAATGGGGGATAGGCCCTAGCCATTAAGTCCATGTAGTGGCGGGCCTTATCTCTGTGTTGGGCCCTTGTTGCTCTAACTTCCGTACCTACCAAGGGTGACAAGTGCACCCGAGGGACACTATTGATTCTCAGTTGGAAGGGGGACACCCCAGTACTACCGTGTGGGGTAGCCCGATAGACGGCCAAAATGTGGTCGACAATGACAGGCCAGGGTCGGGTGTTTCCCGCAGTGATATTCCGTCTAAGAGCAGTCTTAATCAGTCGGTTGACATTCTCTACCAGGCCATTGGCTTGAGGCCAATGCCCCGACGAGTAGATAATCTTAACGTCCGCCCTGACTAGGTGACGTTCTACTTCACCTTGAAATTCCGACCCATTGTCCATGTGTACCTTTTCTACGTCTAGATGCATGCACAAAATTCCGGCTGGTCATAGGGTACGCCTCGATCCATTTCGAAAAATGATCGACGGGCACTAAAAGAACATTGAGCTCTCCCTGATCTACGGGACCTCTCGGAACGTTGATATCCGTTGTGTCGATGCTAACCCTATGAAAGGGGCGCTCTACACGAGTAGGCACCATCGTCCGAGGCATCTGTACCGGCGCCCTATCCGCCGCGCAGGCCGGGCAATTCTGGACGATGTATTTCACATCTTCCCGAATTCCCGACCTGTACCATCTATTCTTTTCGATGGCTTTTTCCGTGTACTTGACCGCGAAATGAACCGCATCTTCTTCATGAGCGGCTCGTGTCCAATCGAACCTAGCGAAAGGGTGTGGAACCGTCAACCAGCTAGACCCTCCGTCATCATCGACTTTTCGTTTTTGTAACCTCGGTCCCTGCCAGCGATAGTCCTGCGCCCGCTCCGTGACTCTCCGCCGCTCGGCTTTGGTAATTTATGACAGCGAGTCGCCTGACAGCCTCCGTAGCAACAGAAGGTCCGTAAAGACTTCTGCCCGGCGGGCACTTGGCACGAATCCGTCGGCGGTCCGTGCGTCCAGATACCTTTTCTCGGTAGGGACTTGGTCCATTCTGCAGTTGGGACAGACCCACGTCTTTTCACTTCGGTACCTAACGCATTGTCCGTGGGATTTGACCGCTTGACACTGACTACACTGCACCCACAAAAGAAAACTGGGCCCTCCCGGATGTGACCCTTCGTGGTCCGGGACCATAGGCAAGTTACAGAAGAAACAGGGACTTAGATGCGTTTCAGGGGACGAGTAGGGACTAGTCGAGAGAGCGAGGGAGTTGGATGAGGGTAGAGAGATAGCGTCTGCCATCTCCGGCGAAGCCTCCATTTCGGACTCAGGCGTCGTCTTTGCGCAGCACATGTAGCTCCCCGTAGCGCAGTTTCGTCGCCGCGGCTTCTGACCTCCACGGAATGAGTCGCTCGTTGGCGGGACACTTGTTGGGCCGCATGAGGCGCGTCAATCCATCGGCGTTGCCATGCTGCCGCGTGGCACGGTGGCGGATGTCGAAGTCATAGTCTTGCAGACGCACCGCCCACCTGCCCAGCGTCCCCGTGTAGTCCGTGTTGTTGCGTAGGGACAGCAGCGGCTGATGATCCGTTACCTGCACGAATTTCTGGCCGTAAAGATACGGTCGGAAATGCTGGATCCCCCACACCACCGCCATGCATTCACCTTTGCACGCTTCGTAATTAGCCTGCGCTTGGCTCAGCGTCTTGGACGCATACTCAATGACGTGTTCCCTTCCGTCCACCCCGTGCTGAGTCAGTACCGCCGATATCGCCTGAGGCTGCCTGTCTGTGTACAGTGCGAACGGTCTTGTCGGATCGGGACGCGCCAGCACAGGAGAAGATGTCAGAGCCTCCTTCAACGCATGAAACACCGCTTCGCATTCCGGCGTCCAGATCAGTTGCCCCTCTTTCTTCACTAGGTTCGTTAGGGGTTTCGCTACACCGGCGAACCCCTTGATGAAGCGTCGGTAATAGGATGCCAGCCCTAGAAAAGCCCGAGCCTGGATGAGTGTGACCGGCGTCGGGGCTTCTTGAACCGCTGCCACCTTCCTCGGATCCGGTTTTAGTCCATCGACCGTGACGATGTACCCCAAGAATGAGATCTCTAACAATAAGAACTCGCTTTTCTTCAGGGCCACTTTGAACTCCGCATCTTTCAGTGCATGCAAAACCCACTCGATGTGTTCCACGTGGTACTCGTGTGTTTTTGAAAAGACCAAAATATCATCCATGTACACAATCACGCACAAGTTGATCAAGGGCTGGGTTAGTCGAGTTTTGTTAACGAACTCAGCGAAGGTCTTATTCATGGCCCGTTGAAACGTTGCAGGGGCGTTACAAATTCCCATGGGACACCGGACCCATTGCCACGTGCCCTCAAATAGGACAAAAGAGGTTTTGGGTCGGTCTTCCGGTCGGACTGCGACATGGTGAAAGCCATGTCGGATATCGAACTTGGAAAAGACTCGAGCGGACCCGATGGCATCTAATAAATCGTCGATTCGCGGCAGGGGATACACATCTTTGGTAGTGATAGCGTTCAATTTTCGGTAGTCGATACATACCCGGACCGAACCATTTCGTTTTGGCATGAGGACCACGGGAAAAGGCCACGGTCCCAGCGATGGTTCGACCCACCCCAACCGCTCGAATTCCCGTACCCTTTCACACTCCAGCAATCTTTCTTTAAGGGAATATCGGTACGGTCGGCAATGTATCGGGGCGTGATCCCCGGTATCAATCGCGTGCTGTATCAAAGGGGTTAGCCCTATGTCGTGGTCCTGAATACTGACGGCCTCATGATAGGCCCGTATAACCGCTAGGAGGAGGCGTCTATATTCATCCGGAACACAGGCTGGTAACTGAACTTCTACGGTTCCCCCAGGAAGGGAGACCGTCGTCATAATCGTGGGGACTGCCGCGCTGGCATCGGGCGAGGACCCAAACAAAGAGTTGTCGGTTTTCGCCGAAAGGACAATCGCAATAAGTTGACTGTCCGCCGGACTCATCGGCTCGCTTTCCATGTCACTGTCACTGTCCAGTTCGGGTTCGACCGAGGGTTCTACCGAGAAGGCCTGCGTCATTTCCCTCGGTCCCCACCGATATTCCCTGGCTCGGGGTTGAAACGACACCCCCTCTTTCAAGAGTATCGCGGCTTTTTCATTCGTGAGTAGAGGCCGTGGAGGTCGAAAAGATAAATCTCACAGCCCCCTCAGCTCGGTAAATCTTTCAGGTAGGGGGTTGGTCCTGAGATATAAGGATGCAGGGGGTTCCGAAAGGTCAGCTATTCGGGACACCCTCAGCAGGGGTTCCCCCTGCACCACGGAGGAGAACGCGTGCGACCAATTGGACTCACTTCGAACTATCTCTAGGGGTTCTCGTCGCCAGGAATGGCACCACTGATCCTGAACCCGGATCGGATATCTGTCGGGAACGTCAATCTCACCAGTTCCCGACGAGATTTCATTTTCGCCTGGCGCCAGGCGTCGGGTCATGTTGATTTGGTGGGCTTTCGTGGTGATTCGAGCCGCCGGCTCGATACGCATACGCACCGCCAATCTCATTGGTATCGTTTGTGGTTTGGGGTGGGCCGAGGTGAGCACCACCTTACAGCTGTCAAAGTGCATTCGCGCTCCGACCGCCGCCTGCCACGGAATGCCTAGCAGAACATCATACGCCTGTACGTCCAGCACGATTGCGTCGCACAAACAATGCACCCACCCCACCCGTATAGGCACGTTCGTTATTCGCCCTTTACAATGAATACTGTCTTCCGTAGCAGATATATACAGTTCATCCGGTCGGAGGGGCTGAACCTGTCCTTCCCTTCCCAATTGTTTCGTCAATCTCCAAGAAATGGCGACCGCTGACGATCCTTAGTCTAGGATGGCGGCCGAGGGATTTCCCCTGACCTCGCAGTCACACTCAACGCTTTTCCAGGTTATAGGATAGGCTCGGAGGAAGACCTCGGGTTTTTCCGAGGCAGGATCTACGGTCTGGATCATTCCTATCCGGTTGGCTTCGTGCACCTTTGAGGTCCAGGGCTGTGACTCTTCGTTTGGGGGTAGGTCTCGTAGGACCGACTCTTTGCCCTTTCGACTTTCCTCGAAGCGGCGCGTGTTTTTGAGGCATCGTTCGATCAACTTTTCGTTAGCCGCTTCGGAAACGGTTAGCAGATAGGGAATAGGGACGGGGATCCGTAGATCCAGAGCCTTCAATGCATCCAACACGTCGATGAGACCGTCTTTATACTCAGGGCCAGGGGCCGCAGGATCTTCGAACCCTGGTCGCCACGGCCTGAGGTCGCTTTCCTCGGTACTCCGTTGGACGTGACGTATCACTCCGATGGTCCCGTGTTCGAACATCGCTGCCGCCATATACTCATCAGGTCCTATCTTAGTGGCCGCAGGGGTCACCATCTCCGTCGTTCGTGTGTCCATTACCGTGGCTACCCTCCCCTGTCCTGCAGCGGTTGGAGCAGCCATCGGGATTTGGGAAGGTCCGGTGGGCCCAGCGGGCCCACCCTGAGTTCGATGTTTCGGACAATCTTTGGCAAGGTGGCCTAGCTGATTACAGTTATAACAGCGTAGGGGCGGGACAGCCCCGGCCACGGCCGGTCTTATCATAGGGGCCCCGGCGGCCATAGCCGCTTGTTGCCATTGTGCGGCGGCTATGCGTTGCCGCTGCAGGCCCTGAACAGACTCCGTCAATGGGGCCACTACCGTAACTAATTGGGCTGCAACCTCTTTCATGGACACTTCTTCCTCGCCCCGGCCTCCTTGTGCTTGACTAGAGCGACGGGAGGTCGAAGCAGAGGAAGAAGCTTTCCGATCCGAGCCTTTTTTTGTCGGACCCAACCCGAAGCAATCTTCGAACATTCGTGCAGCAGTGGAGTAGCTATTGCGTCGAACATCCGAAGGGTCGTCTTCGTCGGATTCTGAATCCAGGTCCACATCGTAATTTTCCTTCCCGTACTTAATTGCATACTGAATTAGCTCCGTCAGGGTATGTTCTATAGGGTTGCATTTCTTGCGGATCTTTTTTCGCAGGCGAGAATCTGACAATCCTCTGATGAAATCAGTCCGTACCATTTTCTCGTCCACCCCGGAGCGTTCCGCTAGGTACGTAAAGCGTTCAGCATATCTAGCCAAGGTCTCCCGAGGCTGCTGCGTATATTCCTTTATTAGACGGAGGCATTGCCCTGGTGCGATGTGATCAAATCTGTCGAGAAATTTCCTATGGAAGGCTAACCAATTAGTGAAAGGGTTCTGTCCATACCACTCAAAAGCAGTTTCAGCTAACCTTCCGGGAATTCGTTCTCGGAGCAACTGGTCCGACCAGCCCTGGGCTTTCAAGGCAGCTAGCCAGGTGCGAGGGTTGGTATCATCTTCGGAAAAAATGGGAACCTCGGAGGGAGGAGGTACAAAATACAGGGGATGATTGGCCATCCCCGCGTGGTTATCATCGTCGTTTCCACCCCCAATTCTGGGTTCGACCATCGCGGGAGGCGGACCTCGAGCCCAGCCTCTCGCTCGTTTCTGATTGCTACTCGCGGGCCGCCGTCGGCGGGAAGCCAGCCTACTAAAAAATGCGAAAAATATCAAAAAGGAAAAAAAAACTCTGAAACAGGGTAATCGTCCTAGGAAAACCTCGGAGCCGAAACGAATCAGCTCTGATACCAACCTCACGTCCCCTCACAGCTTCCCGTACTGGGTCGCCGATCCGAGTTCTAGGAGGGGCGTGGCCGAGGATTTTTGGCCGTAGGGGTTGAGTCTCCTGGACATAACGGGAGGCTCTTGTTTCATGCCAGAGGTTACCCCGGAGTCGAACTGTCGTCGCGAAGTCCCGTGGGGGTCGGATCACTTCGAAACGATAAAATCAGAAGGGTTTCCGCGAAAACGAATTACCGTCGTGTATCAGGACGAAAAAAGGCGTCAAGGGGAGAGGGCCATGGCGGCGGAAGACCGAACTCCGGCCGTCACGGGCTTGGGGGATAGGTAGTCGGTTCGAAGCCTTCTGGCCCCATCATCGGCCTCACGAAGTGACCGGACCATCGGGTTTTTGCTGTAGAGGTGGTTGGTTCAAGATCTTCAAGCCTCGGCATCGGACTCGCAAAGTCCGCGCGGAAGGTTCCGAGAGGGTGAAACGGTGGGAGGACTCGCCGGAATCCGAATTCGAAATTGCACGGGCAGCGCCCCCGCATTACGGGAGAGCTCGGGGAAACGTGTCGCTCCCTCGTACCCCAGGACCAAGCGTCGCCAAGAACACGAGTCCCCCTGGCGACACCAGCAACAATCAAAACGTTAAACCCGTATAAGGCAAGATGAGAGTCGGGGAATCAAAACGATCAATCAAGACAAACCCGTTCCCCCTTATATCACAAGCCCGAGGCGGGTCTCGCCAACACACTTGCTCCGTTCGCCTCAGCGCGCGTCGTACGTCCGCATTGCAGTAGACGTCGTCGTCATCTGTGATAGGGAAGGTCGGTAGCGAGATGAGACGATCGACGGTACGTGATGAACACGGGCAAGATCCCGCGCTCCCGGTCATCCGAACCAACATCGACTCCATACAACACTCGATGCAACCTTCTCTCTCTGAGTTAGTGCGTCGGAGGAAGATGGTGAAATCGAAGCTCTCTTTCCCTCGTGGGGGCGTCGACCGTCCGCGCGGACGCAAGCGGTTGACGTCACCGGGACAGGGACGAGGAGTTCAAAAGTGATGACTATCAGTACAAAAAGGAAGGCGCTCGAGAGAGAGAGAGAGAGAGAGAGAGAGAGAGAGAGAGAGAGAGAGAGAGAGAGAGAGAGAGAGAGAGAGAGAGAGAGAGAGTTACGCCGAGACTGCGCGTGCGCGCAGAAAAAACCGCGGAGGGGAGGCGAACAACAGGATCGACACGCTCGTACTCCTAAGCAGACGGCCCTTCCCAGTTCAGTTTCCCCGTCCCCGCCCGGACAAGTACATACACACATACATGCATGCAATCAACAACCCTTGACAGAACATTTAATCATCCATAGACCTTCGACATCACTCATGCGCACGATCAGCTCCCATCACTCGGGGCTTCACACGCACGACATGCATGGACAAAGCAGCAATGGAGATAAAAGCGAGTCCTTCTTGTACACAAAAATTTCAATTAACTGCCGCCCTCACGCGCAGTCTTCAAAATCTCCCAAGACCACCGCCCACCATAGCCACAAGGCCCTGCCGCGGCCGGTGTCCAATCCCCACCACTGCTCATTCCCTCTGACTGCTTCGCCGGGAGACTACCGTGGGCCCACCCCACGTCGTCACTCCGCCCG